TATTTATCATTACTTTTAAGAAGATCTTGAAAAAAATAATTTTTAAAGCGAAATTTCGCGTCAATGTAAAAAAAAAAAGTAATCGCTCAAAAGATAGCTTCTTAAATTTAAGCGTCGGTATATCGATCACGTGAAATTCTAATCGGAAATTTAAATATACATACAGAACAGGTTGTTTACAAATTTATTCAAAATGCCTTTCATATCAGCTCCTCCATTAGCACGTTATCAATATTTAATATCTCGGTAAATTTTTTTTTTTTCCCTTAAAAAAAACTTTTTTTTTCTTTAAATTCTAATTTTTTTTTTAATAAAAAAAAAGCCGAGGGGATTTTATCCTTTCAGTATTTGCAGGTTCTTTTTCATATTATTTGTACGAAAGAGATAATCCTCGTGAAAACGGAAAAACTTTATGGAAATTAATTAAGAGAAAATTTGAAGTTTAAAACATTCTTTAATAAATTTATCAATAAATTAAATTAAATTTTACTCTATTCATTAAATTACAAATTCCATTCTGGACTTTTTATCAAATCTTTAATAATTTGTATACCACGATGTCCTTTAATTGGATGTTCAACAAAAGATTTTTTTTCTGCTAGTTCTATTGCTACTTCTTGTGGAGTTCTTTTTGTTGCTTTAGCTTTTTCGAGAATTAATTTTGTACAATTATAAATCGAATTCTAAAAAGAATTCAATTTTAAAATTATTGATTGTTAAGTTTAAAATGAAAAACAAATAATATTTACGAACCTCCCATGAATCACCTAAATGTTGTTCGATAAACGGATCGTCATCAACATAACCGTATTGCTCGTCAGCGCAATTCACAATTCCTTTTTTAACAAAATAAATTTTATAATCATTTAATAAAAGTTAATTCAAATAATTTGTTTAAGTTGACTATATTTACCCATTCGATTAGCCAAAAAATCTAGTATTTATAAAAATTGATTTAGATTATAATAGTACAAAAAAACCAAATTAAAATTTAATGAAGATTTATCTACCTGGTATGTACATGATCCCTCGCTCAGCAAGAAGTTTATCATCTTTAATAGGATCTAATTTGAAAAAATATATATACATAAATAAAAAATAACGAATTTATGATAAATAAATATGATTTACCTCCCAACTGATTGTTGGCCGCGCCACAAACGATCTTCGATTTAATATTTGGGATTGTTTGTGAAGTAAGTATATTGCCAACTCCACATGGTGAAATAACGTCAACGTCTATGAAAACAATGTAAATTTAATTGAAACACATGTTTAAAGAAAATCTCCAAATATTGTATGTATTTACCTTCAAATAAAATTGAATTATCATTTCGCTTTGTTAATCGGAATTCAATCTTGCCACTTGGAAATTCTTTGCCAAATTCTTTTTCAGAATCTTGAATTTTTTGCGGATCTATGTCACTAGCAATAATGTACTCGACACGTTTTTCACGTAAAAGTTGTATCAAGTTGTAGCCAACACATCCAACACCCTTAAATAAATAAAACAAATAATAAAAAAAAAATGATTAATGGGCTTACGTGAAGCGTAACTATTATTACTATTACATCAACTTACCTGAACAGCGATTGTGGCACCTTCTAATGATCCTCTACCTAAATGTGAAAAGGCGGCTTCAATAGCCCGAACAATTCCTCTTGCCTTAAGTAAAGGTAGCAACATCATTGTTAATAAAAACGAAGATTATGAAATATATTTAGTGTTAACATAATACCGTTGGTAAGCTTGGGTTGCCACTACCACCAAACTATGGAAAAGAAAAGAAATTGGTAAGATAATGATCGACAAACTTGATAAGACCTTGATAAATTTTCTAACAACATACTTGTGGTGGAATACAAGTTGTAAAACGCGATTTTGAAAAAATTGCTTTCATATCTTCTTCATTCATTCCTACATCTTTAGCCGTTACATAACAACCTTTCAATGAACTTTTTAAAATGATAAATCCCTAAATGTTCCAACAATATCATTGAGTTTAAAATATTGTTACGATTACATACCTAAGAAAAAAACCATATTCTTCAAAGACTAAACGACGTTGTAAAGGTGAAGCCCCTTCTTCACTATATAAGTAATGATATGATATCAAAATCATGCACGTATATGAAATTTAGAAATTTTACTGGATACACAATATAAATTACGCTTACAATGCAACTCCAGAGTTACTAGCAATTAAACCTTTTCCGCCTCCCCACCTATCAATTATTTTAATGTACGAATTTAATATTTTTACACCTAATTTTATTTTTTTTCAATTAAGATATCACAAACCATATTTCAGCAAGAGCATTTTTATGTGTCATTGCTCTAGACAACCGAATTCCATCACGGAACCAATCTTCTATGCTTTCATAACTCCAATTTCGCGTACCACCTGCCGCAGCACCTCGACAAGTTCTATGAACGAATGCGCCCTAAAGACTCTCTAATTAATTACAATAAGTCACGTGAGAAATTACAATATTCTAGCTTTATGAAATGTACCTGCAGTACTCCAGATTTAGGCCCGATCTATTAAATTTTTTTTAAAAAAAAAATAAAATAAAATAAAATAAAATAAAATAAACCATTATTTTTTTTTAATCAGAGAAATTTCAAAGAAATAATATATTATACCTGCCCGAAAATTCCTTCATGTTTATCAAAATCAATTCCTTCTTGAGTAAAATATCTAGAATTCAAAAGTACAGTAAAATGTGAATAAATTAAAATAAAAAAATAAACAGACATAATATTTTTTGAACTCTTATTTACTCTCCAATAGGTTGTAGAATTGGATGGGATGCTACAGTTTTTCCAGTAATTTGATTAAAATATGCATGAAATTTAGTAATTCCGTGAGACCTAAGAACAGAGATAAAACTATCGAGCAAAAAAAGTAATAAATTAATGAGGCAAATTATTATGATTTAACGAGGAATTATGTATAACGAAACAAGAGCTCATATACCTTTTTGGAGAAAGTGAAAGAATTGAAGGTTTTACTAAACTTGACATGATGAAATTAAAAGTACTAGCCTAAAAATTTTTAGATTCCTTTTATATTAGACATAATTTAGCTGCGCCAAAAAAATATAAAGCTGGTGATAGCCTAAATTAGGCCGTAGTAAAAATTTTCTTATATAAGAAATCTTTTTTATTTAATTATTTTAACTGGGCTTTATTATTAAAAAAGTTTTTAATTTAAATTTATTTAACGGGTTGCTTTTGGCTTCTTCGTACCATACTTTGAGCGAGAAGAAGCTCTATTTGGTACACCAGTGAAATCAAAAGCTCCCCTAATAAGATGATATCTAACACCAGGTAAATCTTTAACACGCCCGCCTCGAACAAGGACAACACTATGTTCACTCTAATAGCACGAATTTTATAGAAATCAATTAATAAAATTCTGTTAATATCTTATAATATCAAATCTTATTAAATGTGATTTACCAAATTGTGACCTTCTCCTGGTATATAAGCCGTCACAAATTTTCCTGTGGAAAGCTTTACACGAGCCACTTTACGTACGGCAGAATTGGGTTTCTTTGGTTTTGTTGTGTAAACTTTGTTGCAAATTCCCTTCTTTTGAAAACTTCCTTCCAGAGCGGGTGATTTTGACAATTTAACTTTAGATTTACGCATACCACGCATTACTTGATTAAGCGTGGCATATGCGGCTGAAAGAGGAGGTTGGTAAAGGGGGGTAGAAGAAGGAAATGACGCGTATCGAAATAATGCCGTGCGTAAAGAGTTCATTTGTCACGTTTCTAAATTTTTTTTATTCGATAGTATGTGTTAGAAACTCTTTAACAACAAATTATTGAACTGCATTCAACACAAAGTGAACAAGAGAAATCAAAAAAAAAAAATAATAAAAGCGTCGATTAATCTGTTTGATCTCCATCCGTTACACAAAATTTGATTAATTACAAATTTTGATATAAAAAAAATTTTCAGTTTAAATTTTTGTTCCCTCTCTTTTACATTCCTTGTCAAGTTGGTAAGTTACTTTGTACATTTAAACATCAATTGAGATTTTAACGGATGATATTTGAGAGAAAGAGATTATTACAATTCAAATGATTTTTAAAAAAAATATATTTTATTATTATTATATTTAAAAAATTTTATTGACGATATAAATTAATCCATAGAGAAATGAAGCACAATAATAGACTTCCAAACGTCCATTTCCACAAGGATTGGCAGATACGTGTTAAGACTTGGTTCGATCAGCCTGGACGCAAGAAGAGAAGAAGACTCAATCGTATCAATAAGGCTGCTCGAATTGCTCCACGCCCTATTGAACTTTTAAGGCCGGCCGTAAGATGTCCTACGCGTAGATATAATAGCAAATTAAGAGCTGGTCGTGGATTCACGCTCGATGAAATCAAGGTTGGATCAATTAATCATATAAATATATACTTATTAAAATATTATTTTTCAGACATAAAACAAAAAAAAGAGGGAGAAAAATTCAAAATATAAATTTAATTTTAAATTATTGATAGGAAGCTGGAATTCGTCGTAAGGAGGCACTTACCATTGGTATTCCAGTTGATCATCGACGTAAAAATCGATCGGCTGAATCTCTTCAACTTAATGTTCAACGTTTGAAGACATATAAGAGCAAACTCCTTGTTTTCCCAAGAAATGCCAAAAAACCAAAGAAAGCAGATTCTGATGTATGCCGTTTGCTTTCTTTTTTTACTTTTTTTTTTTAAAAAAAAATTTTTGTTTATTAATTGATATTTTTATATTTTTATTACTTCTTCTATTGATGAAGTTGGATCAAATTGCCGCTGCAACTCAACTTAAGGGGGCTGTCATGCCAATTCAACAATTGTGGAAGAGAGAAAAGGCTCGTGCCATTACTGATGAAGAAAAGAAAGGTAGCGCATATGCTACCTTGCGTAAAGCTCGCTCTGATGCTCGCCTTGTTGGAGTACGTGAAGCTCGTCGTAAGGCAAAGGAAGAAGAAGAAGCTACCAAAAAGAAATAATAAATAAATAAAAAGCTACCAATATTTATTTTGTATTATTTGTGTTATCAAATAAGATAAAATAATTGTCATATCACCATTTAATTGTTTCAATGATATGTTTAACTTTTACGAAGTAGGACTTTTATATGATAAAACCAGAATATGTATGTAGTAGGGGGATTTTTTTTTTTAAAAAAGTGAAAAATACTTTTATCGAGAATTTAATTAAATCATTTTAACATTTAAAAAGTATATATAAATTTAATTTAAAAAAAAAGACATTGCCAAGTTTCAAAAAAAGATTTGCAACTAGCGACGACTAAAATAATAATACATGAAATCAATTTGAATTATTTGGAAAGCAAATTTTATAAATTCTTTTATTATGAATAGACGGAACATTATATTCCATTATTCGAACTCTGTCCGTTTGACATATCATCTTCCTTGATTTCCCAAATATTTCTGATCTTGCCTAAATCAAAACATTTTTCATACACATGATTTTGAACAAATTCGGTTAGTATCCAAACATTTGCTATAAAGAAAACTATACTTGCCAACCATATATTGAAGAATGTGTTTTCTCCAAGAAATTCAAGATTATAGGCTTGATAAAGCCAAAGGACCTATTATAAATAAAAAGAAATATATAAAAATATTTTTAGCTGGAATTTAGTCAGATAATAAACTTGAAAGCGACATCATTACCTGACCACCTATCCATGCAAATAACATAAATAGTCCTTTGTAAAAGAATTTGATGGTCGTGGATTGAATTATAAGTGGAAATAAACATATATACCACATAAAGTACTATAAAATATAAATAAGTTAATTTTTTTACAGTTTGAAAATATATTTTCTTTTCCTTTTGAGCAATTTACCTGGGAAGTACAAACTTTGTTATAAATTACAAATGCAAAGGTCTGAACGAAACATGCAAAAAAGATATCATTGCCAAACACAATTCCCAACAGTGTTACGATACTTATCTGAGGCAAGAATGCCAATAAAGCCATTATAGAACTTTTAGAAATGTCAAAAGTGAGATAAATGTAATAAAACCAAAGGGAAAAGTTATGGCGATGATCTTTGCGTGTTACATGGTAAAGGTAAGTTTCGTTGAGAAATTCTTGTGAATATCTAAATATTTAAAAAAACGATAACTGACTTATTCAATGATTAGTTGCAATTCAATTATAAATCTATGCGTATAAGGTCATATCAATAAGAAAAGACTTACAGATAATACATTATTCCATTTAAAAGAAAAAATACTCCTCCACTTATTAGGCCAAACTTGATTCGCGTTGGATTTACAAATCTAACAACCTTTCCTGTCCAATATTTCAAAGAATCTCTATCAAGTTCTCTCTCTTTACCCTTCCTTCTTAAACCCCGATAATCTTCATCATCAAGCAAAACCAATAATGATATGGCATAAATAATGGGATAAACTTTAAGGTGAACAGATATTCCATATAGAATGCTTGCGGCTATAATCTTTTTCACGAGCACCAAATATAAGGCCAAGAGAATCACGGCTCCGAGTAATGATTCCGCGTTTCCACGCGTCGAAATGTTTGAAACTACTGGATTCAAAAGCCATATCGCGGAATAATTAACGGCCTTTTGATCCTGTAATCCTCGCAAGCGTAAAATTCTATATATTAAAACTCCAACTACAATATCGGCAAAAACGAACAAGAATTTGCCAAATGATTTGTGAATATAGATGTTTGGTGTTAATAAAAATGCAAGAAGGGGTGTATATCGATACGTTGCACGTTTATATGGACTTTCTCCTTGAATTACAAAACGCGCTGCATCTGAGAAAACTTTGTAATCTATATCAGTGTATTTCACTTGCATATGCGCGTCCTGCCATTCACCATAAATCAACATTCCCAAACGAAGAAGCAAGGCCAGTAAACATAAAATAGTAAAATTGAGCCTTGGTAAATTCATTTTGAACGTTTTTGGCGATCGGGTCTAATTAAAAAAAAATTACGTACCAGTTTTATCGAGTGTTTCTCACGCTTCAATTAATTTCCTTCATCTGTGTAACACGAATCAGAAAAATTCCTTTATAAAATGTGTAGGGTATCACATCAAATCCTAGAAGTTTATCAATCTTATTTATAATAACTTGCACTACTATTTCTAATGATACGAACGTAAAAATAATAAAATAACCATGCACTAGACTTATATAATAAACTGTCACACTACCATGTTTCGGAAACAGTTTTTAGGTGTGAAATAGTGAAATACCCTCAAACTTGTGGCGTTAGGTATTTCTATTAAAAATCAACTTATCAGCAAAATCAGGAATTATATGTTGAAATTTTACTATGGAGTGAAATTTTAAATTGTTGTTACACAAACAAATTTAATTATAAAAGACAAAAAACAAAAACGCCAAAGTTCTAATCTCCGAGTACGTCATCCACATTTTTACGCCATTATAAATCGGTAGTGAAACCATCAAACTTTATAAATGTAATCCAATTACTTTAAAGAAAAAACGGGTTCTTTTGTTACGAACTCAAGTCAGATAATTTGATATCTAAAAGAAAATATGGCCAACAAATACGCGAGTAACCCGCGTTTTTCTTTTGTGACTTTATCTGTTGCAGTGTTATTTGGCATATTAGTTGGTCTTTCTTTAGTTCAAGCTCAATTTCTGAATCAAGAAGATGTTCTTATGGATACCGATAGTTGGTTAGGAGAAAAGGCTGAACAAATCTTGGAAGCAAAAGTCAAGTCCTTTTTTCATAACAAATGGAGTAATAAACAAAATAAAGCTGATAATGGTTGGGTTAAGATTTTAACTCATGAAGCTTTTCCTGAATATGAAATTAAATTAAAAGAACCAAATATTTGTGATCCTACTGTTAAACAGGTTGGTATATTCAAAAAAAAAAAAAAAAAAAAACTAAATCTTGCATAAAATTTATATCCGAAATTTTTTTATTTAGTATTCTGGATATCTTGATGTTGGAAGTAAAAAACATTTCTTCTTTTGGTTCTTTGAATCGAGAAATAATCCTAAAGAAGATCCTATCGTACTTTGGGTTCGTATTTATTTTAATCATCATATTAAATCGCAGATCAAAAAAAAAATTGTTTTCATTTATAAATAATTTCCATCCTTTGTTTGATTAGCTTAATGGAGGTCCTGGGTATGTATAAAAATAATTTGTGATTAGGAAATTATCATTGAATCAGTAACTAATTTTCGTGTTACCGTATTATTATCATTCAGATGTTCTTCCTTGACTGGTTTGTATTTTGAACTCGGTCCATGCTCTGTTACTGAAGATGGATCCTCTACAACTTGGAATGAATATTCATGGAATAACAATGCCAGTGTTTTATTCTTGGATCAAGTATGAATTTTTGTTATGACTTTGTTATTGGTTCCTTATGATATTCGGTAATAAAATTAAATGAATGCAATAAATAATACATAGCCTATAAATGTTGGATATTCTTATGGAAGTGGTGTTTCAAACAGTCTCGCTGCCGCAACTGATGTTTATGCTTTCCTCCAAATCTTTTTTGAAGAATTCACCCAATATGCAAACTTGGATTTCCATATTGCTGGTGAATCGTAAGTAATAGTTTGAGCAAATTTGGAAAATATATTTATCCTATTGAAACTATCTAATATACATTTTTTTTTTTGTTAATAGATATGCAGGCCATTATATTCCTGCTATCGCTTCTGAGATTAATAACAACAATAAAGGAATTTCTTCATGGATTCTTTCAAGGCCAGAGGGATCACAAGGTCTTAACCATATTAATCTTGTATCAGTTCTAATAGGCAATGGTCTCGTTGATCCTTTAGTTCAATACGAATACTATCCACAGGTAAATTTCTCTGTTTATCTTTAAATATTTAATACCGAAATTTTTAACGTTTAATCTATCTAGATGGCTTGCAACAGTTCATATAAGCCAGTTTTGGATGATGAAACCTGTTTACAAATGGCTAAGGCATATCCGGAATGCGCTAGAATGATTGATAATTGTTATAAAAATAATAATGTCTTTTCATGTCTTCCAGCTTCAATGTATTGTAATAATAAAATGATTCAACCTTACCAAGCTTCTGGACAAAATCCTTATGATGTAAGAGAGAAATGTGAAGGGGGTGATTTATGTTATCCTATTCTTAAAGCCATTGAGAAATACTCTAATCGTAATGATGTCAAGGAAGAATTGGGAGTTTCTGATCAAATCCAATACAAGTAAGTAATCAATCGACTTGAAAAATATCCGTTCAAAAAAAATTTAATAAAATATTTCGCGAATTTAATTACAGGAGCTGTAATATGCAAATTAATTTTGCTTTCCAAATGGCAGGAGATTGGTAAATAATTGCGAATTATGTAACTTAAGTTTTAAAACTTTCTTTGCTAATTGAATCTTTACTTGTTATGATAAGGATGAAACCATTCCATCTTTTAATCCCAGGACTATTAAGTTCGGACATAAATGTCCTAATATACGCGGGGTAAGTACCAAATTGAAATATTTAAAGTTTAAATGTGATTCACCTAAAAATTGTTTTTCTCTCCAGCGACGCCGATTTTATTTGTAATTGGTTGGGAAATGAAGCTTGGGTCAAAGAATTGGAATGGGAAGGTAAAACAGGGTTTAATGAAGCCAAAGTTAAAAAATGGATCACGGAAACCACATCTACTCATGCGGGAGATGTTAGAGCTTACGAAGGATTAACATTCTTGCGTGTATTCAAAGCAGGTCACATGGTTCCATATGATCAGCCATCGGCTAGTTTAGATTTTTTTAATAGATGGATTAATAAGTCGTCAATCTGAAAGAAATGTTATTTATATATTTCTGATTTGTTCATAATTAAATATATTTGAGTTTTTATGATTATTATTATTATCATTATTATTATTCACATTTCAATAAATAAATAAATTTTAATTGATATATGATAAGAAATTCTAAAACTTAATAACTTTGAGATCCTGCTAAACCGTTCGGAATGGTAAGATCAATTTGTCTTGTATCAGGATTATCATCAATATTATTAATTACACTACTTGTTTGCATACTTGTCATACCAGAAAAACTTGTATCATATAATGAAGATAAAAAATGATTATTTGTAAAATTATCATCATAAATATTTGTAAAATTCTCAATTTCATTTTTCGAATCATTATCCCATTCTATATAAATTTTATCAATTAATAACCATTTAACAATTTTAGAATATAATGTTTTTGCGGTTGGCCTTTGAGTGTAATCACCATTCCAACAAGATTGAATTAAGTCCCATAATTCTAATGGAACGCCATTAACGAGAGGAGGTCTTAGACCACTAATAATTAATTGTATCAAATCGAAATCATGAGAAAGGTTTTCATGAGGTCTTTTACCACTTAATATTTCCCAAGCCACGATGCCAAAACCATAAATATCAGCTTCGGGTCCATAATCGTTATTAGATAAAACTTCAGGGGCAACGTAAGGAAGAACACCAAAAATCGATCCATTACTACTTGATTCTTTTGTTTCTTCTCGACATAATCCTAAATCCGACACATAAAAGGAATTTTTACTTTTTAAAATATTACCGGAATGGATATCAGCATGAATTAATTTAGCGGAATGAATATCTTTTATAGCTTGTATAATTTCTTTTAATATACGCAATTTATCTTTAAACGTAAGATTTTTATAATTATTTGAAAGATAATTTCTTAAATCACCATTTTCAGCATATTCCATTATGATCATGTAATGTTCATTATTCGGTTCCTTTGTTGCTCCATAAACTAGTGGAGTGTTTGAATTATAAAGTTTTGCTTGCAATTTCAATTCTTTTATGAAATTTTCAATCTCATTTTTTCTACCTAATAATTTTTTCAATACTACTTTTTCTGGTCCCAAACCATTTATACCGAATTCCCAATTTGCTGTATAAATTGCACCTTCTCCACCTCTACGTAATAATTTTATTTGATCAAATTCATTTAATGGGATAAAAAATATTGGTAAATTTTTTGGATTTTGTTGGTTAAGCACATGCGTTTTTTTTAAATAAATATCCAATTTTTCTGATCCACTGCTTTTAAAATTTTGAAATCTTTGTGATATTGTTAATTTCGTTTGCATTGTTTTGAATAATGAGTGGAGTTGATATGAGAAATTGATGAAATAATGGCAATGGTTTATATAATAATTGCAATCAAAGCGCAGTCGTAAATTTTTTTATAATGAAACAAACAAAGAACATAATAATGAGGAATTATGGAATTATGAGACTCCGAGTCTCATGATTTTTATATTGAAATTTCTTTAAATTTCTTTCATGCTTGATGATGATCTTATTGTTTTACTTTTAGAGAAATACTCATCAAAGAAATTCTTTCTTTTTTAAATTTTTTTGGCTGATATTAACTTTTGATTGATCTAGGGTTGTGGCGTCGTTGTTCTATCATTCATTTTCGAACACCGGCAGGTAAGACGATGATGATAAAATGCATTTTTGTTGCTATTGAAAACAAAACATTTGGTTTTTGAGATGTTTCTATAATTTTAATCATTGAATCAGGTCAGCCATATGATGTAATAATGCATATTTTAAATATTTAATAAAATAAAAAACTAAACCGTTTCCGTCTGTAATTTGTGTAACTGATTATCTATTAAATCAGTCTTCCTCAAAAATACGACGACGAAAAGAATGGTGGAAACGAATTTTTATGTATGTACTAACTTTATTTTTATTGTATTTTTTTTTTTTATTTATTTACAAGACAATCACTTTTTTATTATTTAACTAGCGAGTTAGTTCTTTTTTCCCAGTATCCACCGTATATTTAATGCATATCAGAAGCGCAATGCATCATATAAACGTAATTTGTCATACAGAGAATGATGATCATGATGAGTAGATTATTTTTTTTATTAAAAAAAGCATAAATAATTGATTTGAAGATTTTTAATATATGGG